GGAGAGAGACATCATGCTTGGGAGGGTGGAGGGACAGCACTAGAGAGGAAGACCCTCGATGAGTTGACTTAGTTTCTGGGGTAATGGGGGTAGATGTGCCAGAGACAATGAGGTTGGCTCAGTATAGAGCAGAGTTCAGAGTTATTATATATAGAGTCGCTATGAGTTGCAGGTGATTGGATGGTATATAACAAAAACAAAACAGCAAAGATTTTACTTGTATGTGTTCTATATTGTTTGACTGTATGATACTATTTGATAATGTCTCTTCTCTCTTGGATCATCTTTTTGGAAATTGTGACAGATCTCTTCCAGGCAGTTGACCAGATAGCTATCTTCCAAATTTCCTAGCATAGACTAGGAAGCACATCTAGGGCTACATCTTGTGAAACATGTCAACTGACATTCCATCCATTCTTACAGCCTTGTTTTAAAATGACAAAAACGGCTAATACAGATTAAATGGAATTCTATTTTGAATCAAACTGCAGGTTGGCTTAAAATCTCTGTTTCTGCTGCTCTGAAGAAACAATTATAAGTCAAAAGAAGGAAGAATCTAGATTTTAGCTTGAGCAGCTTGATCCAAGAATTCTTTGGGTCAACATGTCCCAGGAGGTTAGGAAATAAGAACAGTAATGTTAAGAAGATTATCATTTAATTACCTTGTAGGCTTTTTTTTCACGTGCCCCCTTGTGTGTGCGAGTATATACATACCTCTTTGTTCATTTAAAGCATCCAGGAAAGACATCACGCTTTCTGCATGGTTTGGAACTACAGTACCCCGGGCCTGGATGCTAGTGTGTCTGCTGACTCATGAAACTCTTTATTTTTTTAAAAAACCCTTCGTAAGACTGAAGCTTCCTTTCAACAGGAAGAACATTTGTAACATTTACTATTTGATAATGACTACATCATTGAGCACTGCATCTTTACAGAACTTTACAATGATGAAAAAAGAACTTAGGATGTGAAAGAATTTATTTTTCAATTAGCAGAAAAAATACTCACGGTTGAGCCCCAATTTCACGTAGATGATAGAAGAGCTGAGGAAGGTATGTCTGAAGAAGCGTTTCAAACAGCAAACACAAGGACACAATACCCTGGACAGGTAAAGAATCATAAGAGAAACAGATATTTTAGTATTTGAGAATTACCTGCCCTGAAAAGCTCATTCAAATGGAAGTCAAGACAAAAACTAACATCTTCTTAATTTTTATGTAAACCAGTATAAATTAAAAAAAAAAAAACCCTCACCAAAAAACTCTAACAACATATTCTTTATGTTGCTTGGGTCAAAATGAAGAAGTGCATTAATGAATCCCTACTCTTGTCCTTGAAGATAAGGTTATTTTAAAAAATTATATTAG